CCCCTTCCTAACTATCTCACTAACCCACCTTTTTGAAATACAAATACACGCGCAAACATAAGCTTATGCTCACCTCCCCCCACCCTAATCGCGCCATACCGTAGACAATATCTTACAAAAAGGTTCTTGAAACTTAATACTCAGTTTTTTTTGTCATAGCTCGATTTGTTCTGTCCCCGTTACCATACATAATTGTACACGGATGGCGACTGCAGGGTAGTTTTATGTAGCTGTTTAGGTACGAGGACTGACTCGTGTACACACACACTCACACACACACTCACACACACACACACACACACACACACACACACACACACACACACACACACACACGAATACACACACAAACACACACAAATAATAATAATAATAATTATAAAAAATCGAGAATCCCAGTCTTTCTTCTGGGGTGTTGTTACACACTGTATCCCTTTCAGCCAGAGTTGGCCTTGGCAGGTAACGCAGGAGCCAGCCTGTTATAGATGTTAAAGATCTAACTTCTGCCGAAGAGGGCATGAAAACCCTTTCATTCAGATTTTTTTTTAAAGGAAAACAACACCTGTGCAGCATCATATCGGTTCTTACACTTACACACAACACAGGTGGAAGGCATTTTTACTGCCGCCAATAGAGCATCCTCCATTTTACTCTTCTAGGAAGACACCACAGAATTCTACACTTATAGAAGCGGAACTCCCTCTTTGCGATCGCTGATTCGCTGTGAGGAATTGAAACTAAAACATGGCGGCCTGTTGAGGGCACCTTTGGCTGCGCCGCACAGCGAGGCTTCGCGTTGCTATGCACGCTGATGCTAGTGGTAGGGCTTGGAAGACACCTTACATCAGTATTTTAAAACTTTCTTCGAAGAGGAAATATAGTGAAATAGTCTAGAACATTTGCACTGCCAACAATATGTCATAATTGGCAATGTTACAATGTTTTTGTATTGGTATTGTTGGTTGTTGTTTTTTAAATGATGGGATGGGATCTAGATCTAGATGTAGATAGATCTAGATCTCTAGATCTACTAAAGATCTTCAAAATCACAATACACTTGATAATAACACTAATTGTGAACATTAATTCTGTTGGCAAAATATCTAGATATAGTCTTGATCAGTACTAGATCTACGATAAAGGGGACACTGACAGTAACATGCTCACTACAATATTATAGCATCATTTATCTTAAGGCCATCCAAAGCAAGCAAAAATGAACAATATAAGCCTTTTCTCCAATTTACTAGAAAGAGATGAATAAATAGAGCTTGTATTGAGGAAATGTATTATTTCTCACTTTCAGAATTCATCTCTGTGTTTGCACC